CAGGTAACCTGCAGACCATATACAGAAAACTTGCTAGCAAGTTCACTGCTGCAAATTACTGATGAAAGAGCGTTACAATACAATTACTTCTAAGTAAGTAGAATCAATACAACTAAAAAATATGTAATTTGATGTAAAAGCAAAAAATCCAAAAATTTCACTTGGATTCTCCCAGCACAAATACAATGCAACTGCACGGTCAGTGGGAATTTTTTCTTTCTTCCACTATTTTGTCAAAATTTACCTCTTTGTTCGATTGCCATTTGGCTACGTCAACATCATCGAGATCATCATCTTCGTCGGGACGAATGAATAAATAATAATTGCTACCATTAACTTGTCCAGAATGTACAGCCACCCGACGTAAATTATTTTGTTCTACGGAAATTACTCATATTGAGTTTAGTATAATTTCTATCTAGAATTAAGCATTTTAAAATTAGGAACAAAAATAAGTGTAAGTGCAAATGAATTAATTTGATTCCTTATTGGATCTACGTTGCTCAAATAATTGTCGTCTATTCTCTATGTATTTTTTGATCTTCCTAAAAATCCACGAAAATATTTACCAAGAAAATATTCAAAAAGTGCACCTCGACCGTTATCAGTTTTTGACGAATGCGTCAACTCTTTTTTCGAAATTTTTCCTGCAAATAAGCTGATTACTTTTAGTGGAATATATTTGAGAAAAGACGGCATGCAAACATTGAGAGTATGACAAACGAAAATTGAAAATAAAATGAAAATAATGAAAACGAAAATAATGAAAAATTGCGAATAATAATAACTGTAGAGTTTCAAAGTAACAAGCTAGGCAAATCACTGAGTAAAACAATGATGCAAAATGATCCCTTAAATTCCTCTACTAGAAACAAACAAAATGAACGAACATGTACGGACAGTCTTTGTAAATCCTTTGATCAGCGACCGTTCCACCAATTGAATTCTTTTCTTACATGGGCGTTTCATCCAATTAAGCGAAGCAAATTATGTATGCGAAGTACAAAAATTACTGTAATACTACAACATTTTCCAGATAAAACCAAACAAGAAATTTAAATTTTTTCGTCTGGAAGACAAATTTCACTGATTCCTTTTACTGAGCATTGAGAATAAATAGTAGGG